GATCGCCCCCTCCGAGGCCCCCATTGGCGCCTGGGTGCTGTGAACATCTGGCTGAGGGAGAACCGAGCAGAAGAAGATACATGCTGCCTGTCCGTCCGTCATAGATCAGAGGTCTCCAAACATGGCCCCTTGAAGACTTGTGGACTTCATTTCCCAGGATTCTCCAGCCAGTATAATTTACTCTCTTGTAATCCATTCCTCTGCAACCTCTCCATTTAGATCAGAGGTCTCCAAACATGGCCCCTTGAAGACTTGTGGACTTCAACTCCCAGAATCCTCCTGTCATCAGAGCTGACTGGGGAATTCTGGAACTTGAAGTCCACAAGTCTTCAAGGGGCCATGTTTGGAGACCTCTGATCTAAATGGAGAGGTTGCAGAGGAATGGATTACAAGAGAGTAAATTATACTGGCTGGAGAATCCTGGGAAATGAAGTCCACAAGTCTTCAAGGGGCCATGTTTGGAGACCTCTGATCTAAATGGAGAGGTTGCAGAGGAAGGGATTACAAGACAGTAAGTTATGCTGGCTGGAGAATCCTGGGAATTGAAGTCCACAAGTCTTCAAGGGGCCAGGTTTGGGAACACCTGGTCAAAAAGTGTGTCTGCTTCGGTCCTCTTGCTTGACAGGTTGGCCCTGGCCTCCTATTTGGAGATCTTTGACCCTTGTTCTGGACTAGAAGCTCCTGCAAGCGCAGCTGACCCTGTGGAGGCTGTGGCCAAAAAGGCTTTGTCCAGCTGTGCCCGATGGAGCAGTAGGTTCTCATCATCATCACCTGCAGAGGTGCTGCACAAGGAGGCTCCTTCAGAGAGCCCACAAAGACTGCCTTGGACTGTGGGTGCAGAGACTCCACCGATAAGTCACCATCAGAAACTTTTGCATCCGTGTTGCAAGCAATTCTCCCTTTGTTACCCGGCTGCTCCTAGGTCCCATTGAAAGCGCTGGTGTTCAATGCACGATGTGATCTGTTGGGGCAGATTCTTCCTCTGGGATTGATCCAGCTGATTTAATTTACCTGGGAGAGGCAGGACGAGGCTGCATTGCAGCCTCTGCTCTCCTAGAAGGCATTTAGGTTGTGATTCCCTCTGGTGGGATTAATAGTTCAGCTTTGTTACTAATTGTGTGCTGTTTTTTAAAAAAATTGTATCTTGCAATTTATTTCATTGTGCATTTTATCTTGAAATTGCAAAGAGTCCTTCAGAATCGTAGCAGCCTGTGATTAATCAATAAATTTATCCGGGCTACATAGAACATATCCCTAGTTTGTGTTTTTTCACCTGCTTGTTCGTCCCTTCTCCCAGACCGAAAGATGTGCAGCTTGGAGAACAGATGGTGTCATTGCTGAACACAAAGACTGAAACATGTCTTATCGAGGGACTGAGCGGGATTTTCAAACCTCGGCACGGAGGATGGGGACCTCTCTGCTTTTCCAGCTGTCGGTCCACGAGAGGGAACTGGACTTGGTCTTCCTGGACCACAGCTATGCCAAGCCATGGAGTGCTCACCCTGATGCCAGTAATGCTCGTCCCACACGCCTGCTGTTTGTCACTCCCAAGCGACATCAGGATAATAGCGCTGCGTGAGTTGTCTCTTTCTTTCTCTGCCCTCCGTCTTGAATGAACATTTAATGGGACCAACACCACACATGTTGGGCCTATGTTGTTTTGAGTATTGTACGTATTGCCTGTGTGCTGATTTTCTATAAGCTCATAAGCCACTCAAGAGGAACAGATGGTTACAAAATGCTCCTTGTCCTGAAACTGCAATATCTCTTTCCAGGGAGGCTGATGTTCCTATTGATGTAGAAACAGTGACACCAACACCCGTGCCCCTCTATGACAACCAGAAAGCCCGAACTGTGATGAATGAGTGTGAACGCCATGTGATTTTTGCCCGTACAGACACTGATACCCCTCCTCCACCTGAGGACTGGGAGGAGCATATGAACAGGTATAAAAATGAGTGGAAGAAAGATGTTAGAAGTTCTGCTGATGTTGCCTCTGTCTTGATGGTCTTGTTTCTGATCCTGAGTATAATTTGGGGATATATAATATGAGAGTTGTAAATTTATTTTGAATTTCAAAATATGGCTTCTGGTCATCTCAGATTATACTCTGAACTATGCATAGAAATTGATGTTAATTGATGGTTTGTGTTTTATTATAATAATGACTGTGTGATAAGTATAACACTGCTCACCATATAAAATCATACTATATTGATAAGGTGTAGTTTTATGGGGTCCTTTGTACTCTCAGAGCTTGCTTGTTTTCTTGTTTTCATTACCCCAACTAGATTACATGATCAGTGCTAGTAAGGAGTGCAGTTTCCTGTCAATATATTCTGGTGTTTAGCCTGTCTGTGTTGGTGGGGGAGGTATCTTAGGGATTCTTTGTTTGGACTCTTTACTGCTGGCTCTTTGGCAGTTTCTTGATTGAGGTATTGTGTACTTGATTGTTGGTCTGATGTTATCCTTGGAGTTAAATCTATGCTAATCTGGGTGTTGATTACTGATGGAGAAGTGCTGGAGTCTTTTTGTTCCCTTTTGGGCTGGTTGATTGTCTCTTTTGCACAGTCTATAGATGTTGTTAATGTCTATGGATTTATTGATGGCTGATTTATCAGAGTGGCAGGCTTTTAGAAATTCCCTGGTATTTTTGGATTTGGCCTGGTCTAGGATAGTCACATTTTTCCAATTGAAACTATGGTTAAATGTGAAGTAACCATCCTCTGCTACCAAATGTGATGTTCCCGTGGGTCGTCCATGAGGCCAATGTTGAGAAAAGACAGGAGACAAATTTTCTCGGGATGGAGCGACCCAGATGAGAACCTGAGAGCCCCTTTTATTGGGATAGGACAAAGGCAGGAGGAGCAATAACATGTGATAGAAAACAGCCTGTAACAGTACAATTTCTAATCTACTGCTCAGGAAAGTTCTCTCTATATATGGTCATATCCTGGTCGTCATTGGTAGGGCACATCTCAGGATGTTATGTTATGCACTATCAGGATGTTATGGTGTTCTTGGAGCCAGTTGTCTCCTGTGTGATTCAGCGTGACCCTGCAGGCCCTAGTATGAACTAGGCCATGGAGGACACACACCTGCACAAGGAACTATATTACAACAGTTAAATCTGTCTATATGTTGTGAAATTTTCATCATGCCTTCTGACTGCTAGTTGGCGTTCATGGATGCCTCCTGCCAGTCTTCTGCTTGTTTGTCCTACATAGTGGTTGTTGCAGTCCTTACATTGTATGTTGTAGATGACTCCTGCTGGATCTTTTGGTTTGCCTCAGATGTTTGAAGGGCTACACCAATTCCATGTGGTTGTAGTTGCAGGTTAGAGAGAAGCATTCTATGAACACTGAGCGCACATCTTCCAGGTTCAAGGCTTCTTTATCAAGTAAAAGACTGTGATGTTTCCTCTGACAGGAAGAGTGGGAGGAAGAGACTAGAATTTTAATCCTGGAGTAAACATTTACAACAAGGAGACAGATCTCATGACTCTTGGACTGGCCTCTAATGAAAAACTTCTCTAGCTTTATCATGGTTGTGAGGCTTCTGCAATAACCCAATACCTGAATACGTTTACCCCCAATCTGGGGCTATACTATAATAGCACTTAGCCCTTAGACTTATATACCGCTTTTTGGCTCTCTTTAAGCAGTTTTCAAAGTCAGCCTCTTGGCCCCAACAATCACAGTCTTCATAATGCTTCTCTCTAACCTGGAATTGCTGGTTCCTGCCTTGCCAGCTGCAGCCCTCACTGTTACTTCCATGGTAAAATAAATATGGGGTATTAATGTGCTAAATGAATTAATACACCCTAATGCAGCCGTGCTACTCTGGAGAAAAATACTTTAAGTATACTTCTAATATTTAAATGGAAAACTCTTCATTGCCACAACACATGCGTGAATGTGAGCTTTGTCCAGGGTGGGGCCGTCTGTGCACAAACCCCCATGTGTTGCGGCTTTAGGAACCGACATTATGAGCTGCCTTCCACTTGGTAGGCCCGGTCCTGTCATCCAGTTGGGAAAGGGTAATGCGAGCCTTGCAGTC